GTACTAGGACAAAATCTCTTAGATTCGGATATAAATGATTGAACATGGAAAAATAAATCGTTATTTTGCTTCTGAGAAAGTAACTGTGAACCAGATAGAAAAACTGACACAATTTGTGCTTTAGACATATGGTTTTGGAGAAATTGCGAGCGGTGACTCTGCTTTCCACAGTCTACTCTCGGCCTACATATCTTCCCGATCTGGATCAATTGTAGTTTTCTGTGCTTGGTACTTAATTCATAAGTCATGTAAAGTTTTCTTTAATGAATGACTGGTGCTACTGATAGCTGATAGTAGATATAACTGGCGTTTGAATTCAGTAATAAAATCATTCTCAGGAGACGATATTCAAACAGGCTAGCAAACATCATACGAACTGAAATTCAACCTACTTTCTTCCCAGTTCGTACAAGATCTATGATGCGTTCAACGTGCTCTCTAATCTTTTGACCCTGATCCTGTACGTCCAATCCAGAAGACTTCTTTTTTGTACCTTCTGTCGGTTCTGGAGAAAAGTAACGGATTCGTTCCCTATCGCTTGGCCGTTGTGAATGTTGACTTGTTTCAGGAAGATTCAAAGATTCTTTTACAGCTCGCACTCTCTCCATGACAGCCTTGCAATGCAACTGAACACTTTCAACAAATTCTGTTCTGTTCTCATGAGGCAATTCCATAAGATTGTTTGGAATACTTGGATAGCTTGAAGTATTTGCCTCTTCTGGTTCTACTTTTGCAGCCGTTGCTGGCTTGGTGACGTTAGCGTCAATGTTATCAAACTGTTGTAAGGAAGGAAATCAGAAACAAAGAGGAAATGTGGGTCCGGTTATCGCTTCTATGCAGAAAATTCAGATTTCGTTGGATACAAAGGCAAATTGCTTTCTTAAGAGCGAAATGGGGTAACCTCGATAGACAGCAGAAAATTTTCGTTCGTTTGTGGTACGTTCGCAAAGGGTTTTCGTTTTAAGTTTATATTTTATGAAAATCCTGAACGAACAAAAGAACAAAAACTTCCTAATTTATCCTTCTTACCTCCATAGTTTCAAGCCCAAACCACGGAGAAGTTCATATCTGTTGTTACGGTTTAGTTTCAACCGGATAAACTCTCTTCCATCTCGATCGTAACCAGTTCAGTTTCGTAACAATACGTAACAAATAAACTTCTACAGCGCGCGCAGCACCCTTATATCAGTTTTCAGTGGCAGAGATCTAGATGCCCTTCTAAAAGATCCTCATGTAGTCACTTTGAATACGTAAGATGTTTATGCTCTCCATTATCTTCAGGTCCAATCATTATATTTAAGTGTTGTAGTTAATTAAATTACTTCGGTGTAACTTACCATTAGGGCCTCACTCGATAGATCTAAACAGTTTCTTTTGATGGAATTTCCATAAACCGCTACTCACCGGCTTATTTAAACGACTGCTTCACTGATTTTCAAAGCAAATCGAAAATCATACTCAGAGAAATTACTTCTCGCATTCTTTCGATTTAATTATTGCTTTTAATTTGGAATGCACTGTATCCTGGTGATATGAATTCTTTGCGTTTGGTTTATAATTAACTGCTACAGGTGACCAGACCCCAAAGCCTCTTCCGCGGTCTGCGGTATGACGCTTTTCCCAAGGGCCTTTTTAACAGCATGTGTTGTATTCAAGGGTCTGAAGTTGAATAACTTTAACTTCCCTGCCGTCACTTTCCTGAATATTTTCTCTCATCCTAAACGATAACAGAGACATAAGAAGATAAAAGCAATAATAAGAGAGCAAAATCCCATCTACCCAATTCTTTTCCTTCCTCCTTACTTTTAAGGAACAAAAAAATTTCGTTGTTTACCTCAGTCTTGAGATTTAGTCTATAAATTTAAGCTTTACATTATTTATCTACAATTAGACGTCAAATTCAGCTGATAACAGGAGTGTGTCACTGACAGATTACCCTACCGAGCCAGGAGCCCATGTAATAGGCTCCTGAAACCGGCGCCCAGGGGACATTGATGATACTAATTCATACGCATATTCGAGTCGACAACTTGTTAGTGACAACCGAAGGAAAGCTTTTACATTGCTGGCTGTTGGTTTCGCTTGTTATTACAGGGAACAAGATAAGTGTTTTAACTCTAAACAGGAGAATCTTTGATTTCTTCTTGTGTCATCAGGTGCGGAGTCTAACCTATCCCCTAGAAGAGCTGAGACGTTGATGCTATTCAGCGGATCGATCCCCTCGTTCACGTGGATAGTAAAGTTATTTTTGTGCGCATTTGTCCTCAATATAAAGTGTTTACCCCTTAGTATTGATGCTGATCGTTAAAAACCCTTACAAAAACCGGGGCCATTTTGATAGCCTTAGGAACAAACAAAACTAAAGATCCGCTCGCGTGAGTTTATTTGTCTTTACTTATGTGATATATATTTGGATTTAAATTCTGTGTTCAAGATACATTTAGTACAAAAACATTTTCCCAGACACTGATTACCGGCTATTTAAATAATACACTGAAAGAAAAAGGGTTTATTGCTTAAATACATCGGTCAATTGCATCGATTCGATTGAAAAATTTTCAGAAATTGTAAAGTTTTGGGACTCTAATATTAATTTAAAGGTTGCTGGCTTCCTTGTTCGGTTTCTCTGCTTTACTGTCTTCGTTTGACGAATTGTCAGCATTTTTGTTCTCACCTAGGAAGAAAGGCAAAACGAAACAGGTCATCTTGGTAAATCAGGAGAAAAGTTTCGGAATTAAACAGGTGTATGTCGGAAACTAGAATTACTTTTCACAAAAAATACACGGAATTTATCATATTACACTTATCCAAGCTAAAATACCATTTGATCTTTACCGGAAGACTATCATCAGAGGAATTGCAGAAAACAGGCTTCAAAAGAAAAAAATCTTTGCACAGGGCTTGGGG